CCGCCGCAACATTTCGGCACATCCCTCACAAGCTTCGTGGCCTCCTAGGGAGCTCCACCGAAGGCCCTGGTGGGAGGGTTCGCATGGCACCGCCGCAACATTTCGGCACACCCCTCACAAGCTTCGTGGCCTCATAGGGAGCTCCACCGAAGGCCCTGGTGGGAGGGTTCGCATGGCACCGCCGCAACATTTCGGCACATCCCTCACAAGCTTCGTGGCCTCCTAGGGAGCTCCACCGAAGGCCCTGGTGGGAGGGTTCGCATGGCACCGCCGCAACATTTCGGCACACCCCTCACAAGCTTCGTGGCCTCATAGGGAGCTCCACCGAAGGCCCTGGTGGGAGGGTTCGCATGGCACCGCCGCTCCAGTCCAGCACGCCCCTCACACGCTGCGTGACCCCATAGGGGGCTCCACCTGAGGCCCCAGTGGGAGGGTTCGCACGGCACCGTCGCCCCATTTCGGCACACCCTTCACCCGCATGGCGGCCCCGCCCCATCTCGCCACTCCCTTTGTACGCTTCGTGGCCCTGTGAGGGGATTCTCCGAATGCGATGCTCACACCGACGGTATTCACAACTGCACATGGTTGGGTCCCTCGCCAGAATTATTTTCTTGTGCGCGGGGTCGCCGGCTGATTGGTCGCTCCAGTGCCGCCTGCGGCGAATAATGACGAAGATAGTTGCGCTTCCGTTCGGAGGATATCCAGATGCCTCCAGCAATTTCGCCACCGTGCCAGCGCAGCATTCTGCGTGGCAGCTCTTCGAGAAGGCAGAGGAGGCTGCTGGAGGCCTCTTGGGGCAGAAGGCTCGAAGGCTTGGTTCGTGTTCCCACTCTAGGCTCTAGGCCTCTTCTTGGGGCCGTCTTGAGGCCCTCTTCTCGCCGTCTTGGGCACCTCTTGGGCCGTCTCGGAGCCCTCTTGGGCCGTCTGGGAGCTCTCTTGGGGGCCTCTTGAGATGTCTCGGGGGAATCCTGAGGGCCTCGAGGGCCGTCCGAAGGAAAACTGGAAGAGGTGATGAGAGGAGGGCGGGCGGGAGTTTGCGATGCAGGAAGGAGAGAATGTGGAGGAGAAGGATTGGGAGTGTATGAGAGGATAAACTAGCAACGGAGGACGACGGGATGGGATTGCGGGGACTGCGCTGGAATCGCGGCGAGGGTTGATCCGAGAGGGATGATCATCGCCCCCCCCCCTCCCCTCGGGTCTGGGGGGGAAATGGGCGCGCGCTGCCGGAAGGAGTTTTCGGGGGGACGGCGTTCTTAAAGCAGTTGAGGGTCTAGAGAGGCCCTTGGGGTGGCCACGAAGCCTCAAGAGAGCTCCGAGAGGCTTTCCAGGAAGGTCCGAGTCGCCCACGCCCAAGAGGGCCAGCAACTGTGAGCAAGGTATCCGACCCTAGCGCTGGGGTCGGATACCAAACATGAAAAAACACAAGAGAAATACGGTAGGTTCGCGTCGTGTCGACTGGCGGCGATTCCGCCGCCAGCGTTCAACGTTGAACGCTGGCGGCGGCCCAGAATCGGTCCATGTTGAACGATCCTGACGTTTCGGGAACGGCCGGCGGATCGTTCAAGGTTGAACGATCCCCGCGTCGGGAACCAACGCCGGGGTCGACACGACGCGGACCTGCTGTACAGCGTACAGGTAACCGATCCCAGCAGCGCTGGGGTCGGATACCAAGGAACACACATGTACCACACGAGGGAAGTGCAGGTAGTCGACCCCCGCCGCTGAGGTCGGATACCAAAGAAAATATGTGACAACACACATAGTCTACAGGTGTCCGACCCCGCCGCCAGGATCGGATACAAAGACACAAAGGAAGACAGGTAGCCTTGTCCCCACATCGTTGTCCAAGGAGTTCGCTGCCGCCTTGGCTTTTGCTTTCGGCTTACTCTTGGGGGAGTGAACTGGGGTGTTTGCGGGTCGCCAAGCCATCTAGAAGTGACTCTGTTGGGCACCAGCTCTGCTTGGAAATCAGCTGCCACCAATCCAAAACCTCCGTATCGGCCTGAGTGGCAGAGGGATGTGGGAGGAGGCGGCGACGAGAAACGACGGGCGGGAGAGGGAACATGAAGGTGCTACCCCCTGACCTCGCAGATGCTTCTTGTTTACTGCGGCAAGAGGTTCGCGCGATCGTGCCCACGACGGCGTCCACGAAGGTGCCCGCCAAGGCTCTCGCTCGAGACGTCCTCGCAATCCCAGGGTTAGGGGGATCCTTGGAGGCGACCCTTCGCAAGAGCCCTCAAGAGGCAAATCCTTGAGGCCTACCCTCAAGAAAAACTCCTTGCCCTGCATTCGCGCGGAGGGGCCGCCAAAGGGGCCGCCCTTGGGCGGTCCGCCCTGCCCCCTCCCCCTCCCGCCGCCGCAGCGACGACGACGACGACAACGACCAGGACGACGACGACAGCGACGACGTTCACGACGACGGTGATGATGGCGACGGCGACTTGATCAGGAGGGTCCGCAGGGGTCAAGTGGTCAAGGGATTGATATACAGTGTGCGGCACGGTGCGGTATCGTCTGGTACGGTAGTCGCGGCCGGTACGACATGGTCCAGTATGGTAGCCACGGCAGGTACGGTGTCGTCTTGGTCGCGTCGGGTGCGGTATTGTACAGCACGATGGTTGGTACTGGTTGTCGTTGTATGGTGTGAGCCAGTA